ATCCATCCATCCATCCATCCATCCATCCATCCATCCATCCATCCATCCATCCATCCATCCATCCAATCTTTCTCAGTGGTAGGAATGGTGGACTCCTGTGATTTGCCTGTCTTGGCAACAGAATTGATACAACACACTAAACCCAGGTCAACAAAATGCTCCATGACAAACCATGCCCAGAACACAGGTTTTGGCACAATATTTCGTGCCTACTCTACATATCTCAAACAGCACATGGATTCCCACAATGCAGCCCCCCCCCCATTTTAGCCCTAGTCTAAAGTGCTGTGGGAAACCAACCGGGGTGCCTGAGACTGTCAGTTCTAAAGCGTGCGTATCAGAGAGAGATGCCTTGGTAACAAGATCACGGACTGGCAGTTGAATGATTTATTTTCTCAGAGGAACCAAAAGAAGACCCAAGATTTCGCCCAGGAAGGAAAGGACATCTTTAATTTGGACCTGGAGTGGAACTAATTGCAACTGTCACCTCTAGCTGCCTTCACACCTTCCTGAAGTGGTTTATATAGTTTTGACTTAGTCTGAGATACGACCTCCAGCCACAGATCACCGTCCCACCCCCTCATGGCTTTACTGGCAGTTACCACCCTTGCAGATCTACAGAGAAGTAAACTGGGCGCAAATACTTTCCTTAAAGGCACTGAGAAAGGTCGCCCTACTGCTTGCTGTGCACAAACCTGATTTTCTATTAAATACATTTCTTAGTGCGTAAGAAACATTCTGTTGTCTGGGTATTTAGCTTGCTTAGCAATACAAATTTACATTCTCAACCTCCACCCCCTTTTATTCCCCAACCATTGGTAAAATAAATTCCTTGTTGGATAATATTCTACATCCTGAAGTGGTTTATGCAGTTTTGACTTAGTTCGAGATTCAGCCGCTCTGCCCCCACTCATAGCTGGACTGGCAGCTTGCAACCAGTTGCAAATCTACTGAGAAGTAAGAAGGATTGACTGGGTGCAAGTACCATCCTTAAAAGCACCAGGAGTAGCAACCTTACTGCTTGCTGTGCTACATGTTGCTTGCTAATGTGCAAATAGCATCCTGAATCCAGGAAAGAGGTTGCCCCACCTAAGCAAAAACCTTACTCCCAAGTAAGCTTCTGCAAACTTAAGCCGGTGCACCTTAAGTCCAGCTTTTGTGTGTGTGTGTGTGTGTGTGTGTGTGTGTGTGTGTGTTACAGCC